TTCTTTATGGTTCGGAAATTTGGGGATTTGAAAATTTTGATCTGATAGAACGTGTACATTTAAAATTTTGTAAGCTTGTTCTACATTTAAAACAGAGTACACCTAGCTGTATTGTTTATGCAGAATCGGGTAGATATCCTGTTATTCTTAATGCCAAAGTGCGTATGGTTAGTTTCTTATGGACTTATCATTTTTTACCTGGGAGGGGGGGCTGGTCATTTTGAAATCAAAAATACAAAATTTCTTGACCCCCCCCCCCCCCATAATATTTGACTATTTTTATTTGATCCCCCCTGTGAAAACATTTTAAAAATGTGACCGCCCCCTCTATTAAACATGCCAAAATTTAAGAAGGCAAAACACTTATCATTTTATTTCACGAACATATTGAAAATGAAATATTCTCAGTGGTTTGAGTCCAAAAACATATTTGAGGGAAAATTGCCTTGAAATAGGGCTCTTCCATGAATATTCGAAGTTGAGCAAGCCTGTGCTTTGAGTAGCTTATTCTGACCTTTTTTCTAATTTCCTATATTGGGCTATTAAAGAAAACTTGATCCTAAGTAACTCTGTAAAAATCTACATTATAAAGTTAACTTTTTGAAACAGTAACAACACATTATTTACTAAGAGGGGTCTATTATATGTCCCTCTCTTGAACGCTGCTTAAACTTAAGGCCTTATTGAAACCTCCATTGAGTCGCTAAACTTTTATATGGATAGTTCATTTCAGCTTGAACAATTCAATTACTCATTTATTGTCACATTTCATTCATAAATGTGTGATAGTAACCTCAAAATTTAGATTTATTAGCCTAAAAAGTACAAATTTTGAGGGAGTGTGAGGTATAAATGGAGTCGAAGGGATCTTGTAATGAAAACAAAAAGATACATAAGGGTTGTTCATCATCTCAGAATCATCTTTTGTATCAATATTCAACTGTTTGTATGCAATATTTAATCATTTATTGGAGAAGATATTGCTCTACACTATATTCTTTCATGATGTGGCGTGATTTGTATTTTTGGACAAAATTTTGCACAAATCGCTGCATGCAGATTTCGTTTTAATTTATACTTAATTTCTCTCAAACTATTTAGCTCATTATAACAAAACTTGGCAGTAATGCTTGTCAATCTAGTGATCGAAGTGAGTGAAATATCTTGACTGAATAATTCGGATTACGAAGCACCTATGCATTTTATATGGGACAAAATGACACAAAATGGCAGCTTCCTACATCACCAGAGTCTAATGTGATGTCTTAATTAATTGTATATGAATGATGTTAAAGATGTATTTTCGATTTGACTGTTTTATAATGTTCATCTTGATATTTTGTCTTTTGAAGTATATGAACTACTAATCTCCATGTGCAAAAAATATTGATCCCCCAACTTTAAATTTATAAAAAATTTGAACCCCCCTTTTCCACATACAGAAAAAAACTTGATCCCCCTGCATTTTGACCAGCCCCCCCCCCCCCTCTCCCAGATAAAAAATGATAAGTCCCTTATGTAGATTACTGTGTGGTAAAGAAAGTAAAATTTCATGTCTTTTGTATAAACTATTGTATATTAATTTTCACAACTATGGTCTTAATTGTAAATGGATATCATTTGTAAAAAATGTTTTTGATACCTGTGGAATGTCAAATATCTGGTTTAACCAACTGTTAGATAAATGGGTAATTAAAAGTATTGAGTTGAAACTTAAAGACCAGTTTTTGCAGAATTGCCTAAGCGAAATTAACACTACTCCTAAATGTTTATGTTATAGAATTTTAAAAACTGATATTAAATTGGAAAGTTATTTTTCCAAATTGTCAATATATAATCAATTTTTATTGTGTAAATTTAGATGTGGAAGTCACCGATTACCTATCGAGACGGGAAGGTGGAATAACATATCCAGAAATGATAGGTTGTGCCATCTTTGCGAATCAAGAGACATAGCTATAGGTGATGAATATCATTATGTTATGACATGTAATGCTCTAACTCAAGAAAGAAATAGGTTGTTACCACACTATTGTACTTTTTGTCCAAATGTATATAAATATCAACAATTAATGAGCTCTAGTAACTATATTGTTCTTGAAAAACTATGTAGATTTATAAAAATTATAAATGTGAGGGTCACTCCTCCTGGTTAGTTTGTAATTTAATGTTTATGTCTGTATTGTTCACATGTGCTTTAATATTCAATGCAATTGTTTATACATATATATTCTCTGTAACTATGTAATTTGTAGTTAATGAGATATAAAATTCATTCATTCACCCAGGCGAAGATGGATCATTATGACTATAATGGAAAATGCAGTTGTAAGTGTTTAAATGAAAGTTTGTACGATTAATAATTACTCTAAACAACAATAATAAACACGATTTAGATCTATGTTAATAAGATTAAAATCTATGTAAGTCGTATCATTGCATAATTTATGTTCGTAAAATGTCAGGGTAAAAAATTCAAAAGGATTTTTTTTTTTCTGTTTACTGATTGCCTTGAAATCTACAAAATGAACTATTTTAGAATGTGTATGATAACTCTAGGAGTATTATATGACCATTGTTTTTCAATTTTTAGTCTTTGTTAAATTGACATTTTTTTTTTCTAAATTGTGCAAAATTTATCTTTGTTTCAAATAAATAAATACTGGGCATGAGTAAATTTTTATCCTGTCCAGTATTACAGTGAAAGTTTCACATAACATTACATTTCATATAAGATATGATAACCATCACCGGAAGTATAAATCAATCAAATTTTAACCCTTTTGTCCATGTTTACGAGTGTTAGGAACCATATCACCTCAAGTTTCCAAAATATTTTATAAAAACACCAAATAATAAAGGAATGGTACTATGAAACATCCAAGATATTTGTTTATGACTCAGATTTTTTTCCCTGTAATGAAATGCAGGGTTTATTTCCTACAACTGTCAAATTCAATGGGAATATTTTTTATCGACGGATGTGAAGTACTAGGTTTAGGTGGTATTACACCTCAAACGAAAAATCACAGTTCATTTATTATTCTATGTATAAGTTAAACATTTTTTTATACAAACTAAATTCGGTCAGCGTATATGGAAAGCATATCTATTATGTTAACGATACTGGATCAACCGTTAAATTGTTTCTCCCTATAAATATGGAACTATTCAAATATGATTTCAAAAGCACAAAGCATCCTAAAAATTAACACGGCATTTTTTTTTTTTTTTGCATAACAGTGTAGAGAACAGAAAATTCAAGATATTGCGTGAAAAAAATAAGAACGCACCCTTTTTAATATCCTGTCTATGCTGTTGCCAACAAATTTATTATTGACATCACTTTTATACTTGTAAAAAGTGCAATTACTTGTTGTAAACCAAGACCACAGAAGGAAAACAATATCACTGCATAAGAGAGAATATTTATTTCATAACAGCATTCATAAATATAGAAAATTGTCTATCCTGTTATATATACTATGGTTAAAGTAACTGGGTAGACAATATTTGACAGAAACGTCTTAAAAAAGTATATAATTACATGTTTTTACACATGATGAAAATAAAATGTTTGGTTTTTTGAACTCATTTGAAGGTTACAGCATCGTAATATTCGCAATTTTGCACACACAAAATGCAATACTGCTTTCGGTAACAGGATACATGTAGACAAAACGGGTAACATAACAGAACTTATTATAGTGATATATGATTGTTTACGTTCGTTCATATGTTAACAAAAAAAAAAGACAAAATTGAAAGAATATGGACGAGGGAATTACTTGTTGTTGGGTTTATTAGAAAGAGAGAGCAAAAAAACGGAACATTCTCTGTTGCTACTTTGGACGTATGGTTATTTTTATAAACTTTGAAAAACAATTTTAGATGCATTTTTCGGTAAAACATGGAAAATTGACAAACAAATTAATTAGTACACAGAATACAAGAATAAGAAGTTTTGTTCTTGAAACCGCAACATTAGCACAAGCTTAACTTAGTATCGAGATTTTTTCTAAATAGCCGAAAATTCACATTGAACATGGTAACAGGAGACGAGAGACAAACTTATATTGCACCTATAAAAAATGTTTCAATATATATATATATAGTATTCTTGTAAGACATTTTTATTTTTTATGTATTGTTCCAAAAGTATTGTTTGTTTTGATTTCGATATAAAGAGGGTGGTTTAAGCTGGTAACTTTTTATCAATTTCAAAACTCGACATTTTTGTGAAAATGACCCATATATATGGCTCTGCTTCTCTAAACACTAGTTTGCTATTTGTGGAAGAATACACCTTATCGCTATTTATTTAAATCCGGATAAGTTCTAGAATTACACAACTTTTTCATCCAGTTGAAGCGATCTTACAATGCATTGCCGTGCATAAAACTTTTCAAAGAGAAATGTCACGTTTTATAAACCATCGTAAACACTTCAATCAAAGCATTTTTATTACTTTAACTTGTGTTTTAAAAAAGTGGATCATAATCTATCAAAGTTTCAAATGTTTGCTTTCTAATTTTTTCCTTCCTTAACTCGTTACTGATGACCTTTGTTTTTGCGACACTTGACCCAAACAGGAAGTTGTCTAAGTGACTGTTTTTTTTCCGGATTGGACTAAAAAGCGATAAAGTGTATACTAACCCGAATAATTCAGTCGTTATATTCCGCTGATCTACGATTACTTCATTAACGCTCAAGTAGGAGAGAACGATTACGGGGAGGGACTGAATTATTCGGGTTAGGTGTATACGTTTATTTAGAGTGTCCACGTATTGCCTTTCTTTTTATCTGCTTGTTCGGCAATGTAATCTATGATAAATGCAGTAGCATGTACTGTTGAACTTTAAATACATTGATGACAATTTGTAAGCTTCGAAATCTGCTAATTCTGATGCAAATTATATTTATGAAGGTTATGTGAACATTTCCCTTCGGTTCCCCGTTAATTGTGCGCATGACGTCTACGCATAATATATATGTTTGTCTTCCGGTTACAATGACTGAAGTGCAACTCCGTACAAAACACTGAGGTATGGAAAGTAAAACCAGCATAAAAGGTAAAGGGAAGTTAAAAATTAATAAGAAGATAAACAATGAAGATTATTTGTAAATGGCATCCATGAACGGCGAACTTTCAAGTGCATCAGAAAGCACATCGTGGGAAGATTTCTGCGACAGCAGGGCCGAAACTGCATCGGAAAATTTTGTAAAAGACTTCCTGGATTTTCGACGTGTGAATGGCAATTGTCAGGTTAACGATCCCTTACAGTATGCCAGAAAATTTGTGGACTATTTCCTGAAATATTTCGATGAAAAATTGAAAAGAAGTTCTTATTATCAGGAGTCAAACCAAACAGTTCCAAAACTTAGTCTCAGTTCAGTTCCACACAGACTGACACCACAGATTAGTTTACATGACGACTATGACGATGATCCACAAATTGTCCCTCAGGTTAATTTGTCAAGAAATGGGGAGACATCAAAATCTGTTAAAAGTCCACATCACAGAAAAGGGGGCTTACTCCGAAAATTTTCACTCAGGGGAATACGGAAGAAAGGTAAGCATCAGGTAGAAGATGTGAATAATGACCAGCCCACTCAAGATTCTAAAAAACATAAACATATTAATCCACTTAAACACGAGAAATTACAAAAACAATCAAAACTATTGGAAGTTAATGAAAACTGTGTCAAGGAAGGAATAGTTCATGTTCTGACCGGAGAAGATGCCAAAGGAAAGTCAAGATGGGAGAAAACAAGATTGGTATTACTGACGAAAGATGGAGGCAGCTCATTAGAATTTTATTCACCTCCAAAGGTAATAATTTTAGGTTAATTTGAGATTGGTCAGGTGCTTTTTAACCTGATGAGCTCTGATGGTTGATATTAGTTTTAAAAAAGAAACCTCACACACAGTTAATGTACATGTGTACATTTAAATTTGTTATACATTTTGTACATGCATATGTAGTCCAACATCTTTAAAGAGAGTTAATGAACTGAACATGTTAAACTTACAGATGAACTCCAAAAACTGTGATTTTTTAAGAAACATCTTACAAATGTAACAATATGTACTTCGTAATATTTAATTTGTAACCAATTGATATTCAACAAAGCAATGAACATGCATTTTGTTTTATTGTTCTACATGTGCAGTGCAACCAAAGATTAAGAATAATATACTGCAATAACATTATTTTTAATTAGATAACTACAAAATTTATCTTTTGTCATTGGATAAAATCATAGGGAATCTTCCTTGATAAAACGTTATATTCACCGCAGGAAAGTCATGAGAGTTAAATAAAAGATTTGGTACAGCTTATGTGAACCTAAAAAGTTCTTTTTCTAGGCAAAATCAATAACACAGATTTATGACCAGGGCGACCAAAACGGTTGTATTGTCCGGACTTGACCGAAAAAATTATATCTATGACTTGTTGTTCCGAACCTGAAATGGACATTTAATGTGGGTTTGCCATTTTAACATTATTCAGAAAAAAAATGAAGTTTTTGGGATCTTTTTGATCTGATCTTTTGCCTTAAACAGCCACATTTCTGGTTATAAAAGTGACGTGGCGAATAAGTATTATCAAAACAAACCCTACTTTAACACCTTCTCATTACGATCAAGGTTAATTAGATGTCTGACAGTTGAAATTTACCCTGTTGAGGTTTCAGGTAACCTGATACATGTATGTGCCGGACATTGATCGGTCTATTTAAAGTTATTTTCATAAATTTCAGTGGTTTGCATGATGCCATCTAATTAATTTAGTCAGAAAGATTTAGATTATCAAAAATACATATAAATATGATTTGATGAAAAATTAAAAAAGGTAGTTATAATGGTTTTAAGCGAAAAATCGTCAGAACCACATTTTTTGAACTAGTACAGCATTTGTACAGTCAGGGGTAATACTTATACAAGTCACTTTTATTTACTTGTATAAGTAATTTTATAGGATTTTTATTTTATTTCAAGGTTTTAATCTTCTCCAAAAATTTACTTATACATGTACAAGTAATTTTTTGTACAACCCCTTAAATCTCAAGTTTTGGGAGGTCAAAACATGCCTTAACAGAATTTTTTGGGTTTTTTAACCTTTTACCTCAAGAACTAAGCAAAGAAATCTATTACACAAAGATGTTAAGTTCAAGATATTTACACTTGTATGTACACTGTAACTAACTTTTACATACTAAATATATATATTATCTGCTTTGACAGTTGCTCACTTTTTTAAGTAGAAATATTCGATAAAATTCACTAAAAAAACTAGATATCATTGAGATGGGAGCCATCTCTGTGGGCCCCGCTGTAAATAACGTGTCAACTGAAACCAAAAGTTTTTGACCTTGAACTTTGACCTAGGAAGTTGTACAAACATTATGACACACCCTCTGGTGTTGGTTAATATACATTCACCTGCAATCACCCTTACATTTTGTATATATCATGTATATTAAATAAGTTTTATTATAAGGGTGAAACCAGCAGTAAGATTATTTTTTTTTAATATCGTAGATCCCCTTGTGTGCACATGCAATATTCATGTACATGTACATGTATAAGGGTCTAGATGGGAAATAGAAAATAATAGGTCCATAGTACAGAAAAATGGACAAAAATATGCCAACAAAATAAGAATATTGTTGTATGACGTCAGAGAGTGAAATAACCACGTTTATTTCACATGTGAAATTATCGGTTTTTATTTGACTGGGAAATCAATATAATTCATTGCTACCAATGTAATAATAGAGAATAACGGCCTAAAAAATTAAAGAATGCAGAAAAGAAGAACCTGCCATTCAGAGCCTCATGTATGGAAGACAATGTTACATGTATCATGTGGTGCTAAAGATTAGTCATCACTTGTTACATGTGAAATCTACATTTGTACCTATTCCTATAATCCTTTTGATGTATATTTATTAGCTACCTGTAATGTACTTTCACAATCATGGTGATTGAAATAATTACACAGCTCTCTTCAAAGGGAAAATCATATATACATTGTAACAGGAAGTTTGTATTCTTTTGTTTCATTCCAATCAGATATAATTTTCTTTGATTTTAGAATCTGTTAGCCTTGCAGCATTGTCTTATATATAGTACAATATACATATTACATGCAAGGTATAATCATGTAGTGCACCAGGTTTTAATGTTTTTGAAATATTGTTTATATAATATTAAGATTTAACTTTCAAAATTATGTCATTTGGACAAGGCACTAACTAGTTGAAGAATTTGACCTTGTTTAACTCAGTTTGATTAATTACCATGATTGCAATTATTCAAATGTATATGAAGTTTTTTTAACATTTAATATATTCATGATACAAGTCAGGCCATGCAAAAAAAGATAGTTGATTTTCCCTAACCCTGCAGGGTTTTTTTTTTACCCTTTGGGTAATTTTTTTGGTATTAGATGGAAAAAAAAGAGCAAGAATCTCTTTAAGACATTTATCAACGATGCCTTAATTGTCTAATAATTTCTTTAAAATGTTTATTTTATCATGTTTATCATTCTTAAAAGTTTAAAATTGCTTATAGCACATTATATAGATCAAGATATAAAGCTCAAACAATTTTTCTTCCTGAATCTCATGTCAGTTTTTTAGAAAAAAATCTCGGTAGAGCGAAACTGCATGTGCCTCAATTGAATTTTTGACAAAAAAATAAAATAAGATAGAAAATTTCCTACTCTCATGCCTGTCAACCCTATAAATTTGTTGTGTTTAAGTGGAAACAACAATTTTTATTGTCTTAAATGCACTAAAAGATTATATCCTCTTCCTGTAGATCTTCATAGTACATGTACATGTGTTTTATATATATACATGAACAGTATTTACAATGTAAGACACCACACTTATAAAGTTGTCTAAATGCTACATACATTTGTAGTACTCCAATGGTATAAAATTACAAAATGTAATCAAATAGCAAAACAATAAGACTTTAAAGATCTATATATAACAGGAAAGAGTTAGACCAAAAATATTAAATGGGCCTTGGTAAAGCAGAAACACACCTACCACAAACACATACATTTGTAACTCCTCCGAGAAAAGGAGACATTCAAATGAAGACAAACAATGATGAACAACACAGGGTCCAGGGTTTGAAATTAGCAGGGGCCCACTAGGCAATGGCCCCTAAAATTTGGTGTGGGCTACTTAAATTTCTGCCTTTCTTGTATAGGACTATATATGTGGGCTACCATTGCCAAAGTCTTAAGTTCAATCCCTGGGGTCCAGATAGCCTGATATGGTACAGACTTGGTACAGTACATCATACATGTGATTCAATGTAAATAGTATATTGTCTTCTTATAAAAAGCAAATTATCAAAGAACCTTAAAATCTGCATGTATGATAGTATCAAGGGCTACATTGTACGTGTCCTTTTTACACTCCACTAGGATAAAACAAGGACAAACATATCATTTGTCAAAACTAAGAGAATGTAAGTGTGTTTACATGTAAGTCTGTCAGTAATCATGGTGATGCAATGTTTTAATTCGGAGGTGCATATATATACTTATGGCCGAACATATTGATAAGCGTGTTAAGGGTGTCCTTCAAAAGAAAATAGCTAGGGTAGGTACACGTATGTACAGTTACCAAAAAATGTAGGTAGGATATTTTGCTATTTTAGCACTTTTTTTTTTAAAACTTGAGTACATGTATATGGGGGAGACCTGTAATTATATCATGATTCTCTACCAGAATTCTAATAAAACTTTAAATAGAAAGCATTTTTACTTTGAGGTTTTCAAAAAGGGTTGGTGTTGAAACTGGGTATTTTGACCTTACATATAACTGTTACTGTTACAAATGTATGTGTGAATTATGTAACTGAAAGCAGATCTGTTTAAAAAATTGAATCAGAAGTTATTTACAGAGTCCCTTAAGCTTTCAAATTATAAGCCTGGTACCTTTGATAACTATTTACACCAGTGGGTCGATGCCACTGCTGGTGGACGTTTCGTCCCCGAGGGTATAACCAGCCCAGTAGTCAGCACTTCGGTGTTGACATGAATATCAATTTAATATAGGGTCATTTTTATAAATTAACTGTTTGCAAAAGTATGAATTATTCGAAACACTAAGGATTTTCTTATCCCAGGCATAGATTACCTTAGACGTATTTGGCACAACTTTTTGGAATTTTGGGTCCTCAATGCTCTTCAACTTTATACTTAATTGTTTGGCTTTCTAACTATTTTGATCTGAGCGTCACTGATGAGTCTTATGTAGACGAAACGCGCTTCTGGCGTATCAAATTATAAGCCTGGTACCTTTGATAACTATTTGATATGAACTCTTAGTGATAAAGGATAAAAAATGAGATAAAGAGGTACAAATAATACTGATATATTGGAAATTGAAATTAATGCATGAGGCACTGGTATATATACATACGACTATTCTTTGTATGGCCTTATAATAAATCCTGTTAATGTTGTTTGGAAATTCAAATAGCTGATAGGGACTTTAACTTAATTTACTCATTTTATAAGTGACAAATATTTTTGACAAAATAAGTGGAACTGAAAATTAATTAAATGTTTACATGTACATATTTTTGTGTATATATATAATGAACACTAATTATCAACATGTACATGTACATTCAGTGCTCTCTTATACATGTAGCACAAATGCTGCACCATGTGATCATATTTCTATAGTTTTTAGCATCATGCTTTCTGAAAAGATTTTCATTGTAGAATGTATTATAAATGTGGTATTTTTTATTTTATTTTTGGGGAAACTGCTTTTTGAAATCTATTTATGGTGCTATTTGAAAATACTGGTCTGGTTGCTGACATGTACAGTATGCTTAAAAAGATTGGTGAACTGTAATAACTACCCCATCAACAGACAAAACTATGTGTAGCCATACCATGAAAGATTTGTAGAACATTGACTTTTAATTGATAAATGTCATAGAACAACAGCTGTGATAAATATTTTGTTCCATAATATTTATGGTGCACATTTATATATAACAACAACAGTTAATTCCAATCTTAAAAAAATGGAGTTCAATGACAGAACTAAGTAACCCTCGATATGACTTTATAGTACTTACAACAATGATCAAATTACCCCTCATTGTGCCTCAGATTCCACCTACAGAACTATGAATGAAAGGATATGCCTGAGGGAATACACCAAATGCTATCTTTAAGTTGATTAATGTCCCTGAAAATATGTTTGTTTACAGTCAAGGTCATTCTATCTACATTTATCTACATTGTAGTGTAAACACTTTTTATTGAACATGAATAAAGGGAGATTTAATTCAAACACCTAGGAATTGATCATTGATAGTTATGCATGCATTCAAATAAAATGTACTTTTGAAGTGATCCATGCTTTGATTAAATTGTTCATAAAGATGTCCCACATTTTTAATTTATTACAGAGCTTATCCCTTGAACATGTTGAATGTCTGATATTCAAATAAATGTAAATTCATGATCAACCTGTCTTGAATATCATACCCATGGTATTTAACTTTAAACGTGAAGTAGAGTTGTCACATGTACATTAGTACGCAAAGTTTGTATATATAGTACGTACTGTATACTGGCAGTGTCCTGAAAAGGGGGACTCAGACAATGTAATTACCTTGTTAACGTTATATTTAGTAAAGGGTGTCTGACTGGATGATCAAACCAAAATTTTTGTTATATTACATCTTTTTCAATGTACATTGTAGCAAAAATAAAGAATTTTCAAAAGATGAACCAAATGTACATGTTGTCTTAATTTAACACTCAGTTTTTTTTATCTGATTATTTTTCAAATATTTTATTTTCAAAAATGCAGATGCTTATTAATCTCATAGGATTTCGAATTCTCACAAAACCATCCACGTGCTAGTTAAGTAGAGTTATAATGAAGTTGACCTCTCAGGTACAAGATGGAAATCTACTATATGGACTTTGTTGGTATACATACATGTATAGTAGTTACAGATTTGGGGTAGTAAGTCTTTGACTGATGAGACCTGAACATGATTTACTATAAGGCGAGGTCATATGTTGGAGAAGTGAATGACCCAAATAAATAATCATCAACCAAAAAATAACTTGCAAAAGTCTTTGAAATGCAAAGAGAATTTGCATAAAAATGTATGTGAATATGCCACTATAGTCATGCATCAATGGTTACACCACTAAAGTCAAACATCAGTGGTTATCATTCATGATATAAAACATACAGCAAAATTTGAAGAGACTCAACATTTTTACTAACTAAAACAGTTAATTCTGAGCAAAGAAGTGCGATTTCATTATTGTTCTTTGAATTATCTAAAAGTTTCAAAGAGCACACCCTATATATTAAAGGCTATCAGTATAGGAGATTCAATAGGATCCGTATTTCTGATTGCTATTCAGAACATAATGTATTATGCAAAGTGTACAATAATATATGTACCATTAAAATAAAACTTTTAAGTATAATTGCAAATAGAACTACTAGCGTATAATTACTTACGTAAATAAGAAGATGTGGTATGACTGCCAATGAGACAATTCCCCACAAGCATTTTACAAGAGACCAAATGACCCAGAAATTAACAACTATAGGTCATTGTACTGCATACTCAGCTCTAGAAGGCCCCGAAAAGACAAATGTAAAACAATTCAAACGAGAAAACTAACGGCCTGATTTATGTTCAAAATAATGAACGAAAAACAAATATGATATACAGCAAAAAACGACAATCATTGCCTACATTTATAATAATTTAAAGAAAAAATACATTTGAATTAATAATATAAAGACTTTACATTAATTGGTCTGTTTTTGTTTTTATCTTGCAGTCCTTAAAACCCAAAGCCGGTTTGTTTTGTTTCCTGATCACTCAAGCCAGGGTGACTACATCCCTAGAGATGCCTGACCATGAATACACATTTGTTTTAAAGGTATGTGTATAATTATATGTGTACAAAGTTGTGTGTATAATAGAGTTGCATAATTCCCATTTAAAAACAAACAAATAATGTAAATTCAGAAATTATTGTGAAGTTTTTATTAATGCGAATGAATCGACTAGCTGAGTACCTGATTCATATATTTGTATGCAGCTTTTGCTCTAATCGCAATATTTGTACATTCTTTAAAAATCGCAATAATAAAAATCGCAATAATAAATGCAATTTCTGAATTGACAGTATATATTATACTGGGACTAAAACGTGAATATATTGGTCTCAGATATATAAAGGAGACTTACAAATGGTTATAATATATATAGTACATGTAGGAAGTCAATAGATAAATTATACTTGGACTAATACATGAATATATAAATCCCAGATACATTTATATCGGAGTCTTACACCTGGTTAGTACATGTAGGAAGTCAATAAATAAATTATACTTGGACTAATACATGAATATGTAAATCCCAGATGTACAGGAGACTTACACCTGGTTATACTACATGTAAGAAGTCAGATGATATGTTAATCAAGTCAATTTGATTTAAATTTAGTACATGTAGTAAAGTCAACAATAATAAATCTAAGAATACAGTTCTAGTGTCAACAAAGGATTGTCTTATAACCTAACAAATAGTCAATTTAATCTAAATAAGATTAAAAATGAAGTTTAAATTCCATTAACAAGTCAACAATAACAAAGTCAAATTGATAAAATTACAGTGAATCAATGAAAATTAAGTACAATTTACACCTCCACAAATGACAGAGTTTTATAACCTCACCAAAAATACTAAGATTTAAATTAAAGTTAAATGTATAAGTTATAACCACTAACATTTAATACCTCAGATGTTTATATCACAATTGAAATTCCAATACATTTTAATTCTACATATCCGTTGTTGAAATAGGCAAAAAAAAAAAGAGCTACAATGTAAGATGTACACAGATTTTGAATTGTTATAATTGCATGGGTTGTTCCTTTTTTATGCCTCCGACGTCAACGGAGCGGGCATTAAGTGTTACCCTTGTCGGTCCGCCCATACGTACATCCCCAAATTGGTTTCCGTTCTCTAACTTTAGTTTGCCTCAACCAAATGTTATGAAACTTATACACAATGCTTATCACCACAAAACACAGATCAAGTTTGAATTTGGGTGGCGTCACTTTTACCGTTCAAGAGTTATGCCCCTTTATAACGTTATATGCAACTGGGGGCATCATCTGTGTCCCATGGACACATTCTCTATTTATTAAGTTTTGCGATCAGCATTTGAGAAACTCAGAATAGATTTTAAGAAGTATTTTGACAGAATTTTGAAATAATGTGTAATGTCTCTAGCATATTGTCTTTAGTGCAGAATAGAACACAATATTTTATTCACCAAATTAGGGTTCCAGGAGCCAGGAGGGCATAAAAACATCAACAATATTATTTTAAAAATTTGCAGAAAAATAATGTAAATATATATCATGTATATATATATTCAATCTAGACAATAGACATGTAATAATAAAAAAAACAACAAAAAACAACAACATATGTGATTATAAAATTTATATTTTGCGGACATTGACCCAAGTGCACCAGGCAATTGTATTTTGACTATTAAAAAAACAAAGCATAAGTAGTTGGTGCTGTATATAGACATATGGAGAGAGTTGAGATATTTTGGTTAGACCAAAATTAAGAAAAAAAATAAATTTTTGTCTTATAGACATAATTTATAAACAGTAAACATGCATGGTAATTTGATTAATCGAAATGATATGGATAGATGCAAACAAAAATAAAACAAAACCAAAATAAAACAAATTAGTTGAAGATATGTTCATGTATAATTACAATGTACAGGTACGGCATACCGTGACCTTGTAGGACAGTATTTCAGACTTGAGTGACTAAAAGGAATTTAAATCATTATGTGTAAATATTATAATTGTCAATATAACAAACATCTTTTGGAAGGATATGACTAAGTCAGTACTGGATGATGACAAAAACTAGAAAATTTCAGTATATATTTCTTGTAAAATCACAGATTTAAAAAAATGTAAACGAAAAGTCCATTTCAAAATATATGTCATTTTCAACACTAATCCTCCTCTAAAGTAGAAGTAAGGATCTCTTAATCCAAACTTATTGGTTATTTTTTTTAGTTGTGAGTTCAAAGACCTAAAACAGGGGTGCATGTTTGTAAGACTGTTTTCACCCCTTCTCTCTTTTTTAGCCAAAGTCTAATTATAAGATAAAACAGTTACTGTTAATTTGAAAAAGTATCTATAGTTGCTTGTGAAAAAAGCCCAGCTAGGGACTTTTGTAAAGCTTGAAATTTTCATGAAATTTTTGAAATCAGCTTTTAAAGATAAAAAAATCATTAAAAAAAGGGATAAAAATGTTACTTTATGCGTTCCTTCTTTAATGTATTATCTATAATCAACTTTATATATCGTATTAAAGTAAGTGTGTCCATACACATGATTTAATTTACATATATATTCTCTTTGTACATTATACATTTGTACAATTGTGATCCAGTTTTAAGATATGTAAAAAAATAAACTGGAATGCTTGAAATATATGTTTATATGTTAATGGAATACTTTTATAGTGCAAAAACGTGACAAATATAAGTACTGATGGGACAATTATGTACACAGCCAAGAGATTCTCTGAATTTTGTTTATATGTTACAGTGAAACCTGCCTCAACTTACCCATATATATCATGCATTTAAGGGGGGAGAAGGTGGTAAGGGGGGGGGGGGACGTCTTAAAATATTAAAGTATAGTTTGGAATAAACAGATTGAATTTCTTTACAATATTCAGGGTTAGTAGAGATTTTTTAAGTTTCAACATGTATCTGGTTTATTTTTAGGTTAGACAGCTAGATCTTACAAACACTGAATCATTTCCCACGTTTTTGCCTATTTTCACTTAATTCTATTATCATAACGATAAAAAAAAAATTTTAAATGAGAACTTTCCTGTCAGCTAAACTTGATAAATTTATTATTATTTATATTCCACACAGTTTTGTATTTTTCAAGATTTTTCTGAAAACCCCTAAGGTGCCTCTTCATATCATTCATTATGACAAATTAAGCAAATGAACATGTTCAATATAATTAAAGTAATGATCTGACATCCTTGTGGTTTATTTATCATTCAGGTTTCTCTTCCTACAGCTACAAAAAAGTTACTACATGTACGTGTATAATATGATGACAAAACTACATGTATCCTGGTTAATTCAGTACAAGTGCAGCATATGACAGATTAAAAATTACAAAATTACATAGTTTTTCGCTTACAGAAATGAAAAAAATGACACCTACATGATTAAGTATTCAGCTACTATATATTTTTGCAAAATGCACAAAAAAATAAAATAATAGAGTCCTCAAAACTTAACTAATTAGTAGAGCTCAACAAGTATGATACATGTATTTCATATATGTGTATATTAAAGGGGAACCTAAGAACAACCTAATGTTAAAAATATGAGTTTTATTGATGACATTTTCAAGATTATATTGTTAGTAATATTAAATTATAATTGTGACAATTTATAAAATTGAATTTTTTTTTTAGTTCACAGAGAGGGTTATCATCATGATAATTTGAGTGTATTTGATAAAATATATGCAATAGATACACTGACATGGTTAGTAAAATAATACAAATTAAATTACTGAAGTTTGAAAATATCTTTTTCAGGGTCAAGGTACAAGTGAGTTTGTGATTGAGGCACATGATATGAATGAAGTACATTCATGGTTAGATGCTTTAAGAACACGCATCAATACCTCACTTGATGTTCCTGAGGATGATTTGGAACCCACTCCTTCAATGTAAGACACTATTGTATAATAGAGTGGTTTGGTCAAATACAATTTGGTTTACTGGACAAGCATGACAAGTTTGTCGATTGAAAATAAAAAGACCATATAAAGATAGCAACCTGTAAATGTCTTGTGTAACACATTTTGGCTATTAAATGATTAAAATATACTGTCCTATACATGTACATGTTGTATGTTTAAACTACAACAATGTAAGTCTTAAGACCCTTGAAAGAAAATGTTTTATTTTTTTTTTATAAAGGGCATTTATACTTGACCTAGCTTAAACTGCTGGTTTCAGAATTTTATGTCGTCCAATGTTTAGTTCTCCACAGAAAAAAAGAGATACTTTTATTGATGAAATTGACCCCATAATTAAATGTTTTCATTTTTGTCGAGCCTGCGACTTTTGTCGCAGAAAGCTCGACATAGGGATAGCGATCAGGCGGCGGCTACGGCGGCGGCGGCGTTAGCTAACTTCTTAAAAGCTTTATATTTTAGAAGATGGAAGACCTGGATGCTTCATACTTTGTATATGGATGCCTCATGTTACGAAGTTTCCGTCAGTCACATGTCCAATGTCCTTGACCTCATTTTCATGGTTCAGTGACTACTTGAAAAAAAAGTTCAGATTTTTTGTTATGTTAAATTCTCTCTTATTATAAGTAATAGGATAACTATATTTGGTATGTGCGTACCTTGCAAGGTCCTCATGCCCGTCAGACAGTTTTCACTTGACCTCGACCTCATTTCATGGATCAGTGAACAAGGTTAAGTTTTCGTGGTCAAGTCCATATCTCAGATACTATAAGCAATAGGTCTAGTATATTCGGTGTATGGAAGGACTGTAAGGTGTACATGTCCAACTGGCAGGTGTCATCTGACCTTGACCTCATTTTCATGGTTCAGTGGTTATAGTTAAGTTTTTGTGTTTTGGTCTGTTTTTCTTATACTGTATGCATTAGGTCTACTATATTTGGTGTATGGAATGATTGTAAGGTGTACATGTCTAGCTGGCAGGTGTCATCTGACCTTGACCTCATTTTCATGGTTCAGTGGTCAAAGTTAAGTTTTTGAGTTTTGGTCTTTCTTTCTAATACTGCATGCAATAGGTCAGCTATATTTGGTGTTTGGAATGATTGTAAGGTGTACATGTCTAGCTGGCAGGTGTCATCTTACCTTGACCTCATTTTCATGGTTCAGTGGTCAAAGTTAAGTTTTTGAGTTTTGGTCTTTTTTCTAATACTATATGCAATAGTTCAACTATATTTGGTGTATGGAAATATTTTATGATCTATATGTCAGTTACGCAGGTTTTATTTGACCTTGACCTCATTTTCAAGGTTCATTGCTCAGTGTTAAGTTTTTGTGTTTTCGTCTGTTTTTCTTAAACTATAAGCAATAGGTCAACTATATTTGTTGTATGGAAGAATTGTTAGCTGTACATGCCTGCCTAGCATGGTTCATCTGACCTTGACCTCATTTTCATGGTTCATTGGTCAATGTTTAGTTTACTTGGTTAATGTTAAGTTTATGTGACAGTTGTAATAAAGCTTTATATTTAGGACTATCAACATAATATCAATGATTAGTAAAGAAGGCGAGACATTTCAGCGTGTGCACTCTTGTTCATATCAATTTTTGAATTATATAATGATTATATTTTTGCAATGATTTTTGTGGAGATGTTTAAGAGATATCCCTTTTACAGTCATGAAATTTATAAATTAAATTTAGTAAAGTGATAAAGATTTTAAAAATCTTGACCATGTGACTTGCATATGCTGGGTAATGATATACAGCAAAACCCTCCTCCAAAACATATTTGGCAAACAAGTAAAGAAGATAATTAAATGGCCTTTTATATTGAAATTTACTAAATTTTGGTGAATTGCTTTAATCATGTCATAGTCGTATCATCAAGACATAGTTAATTAACATTTTTATGCCCCCGCCGTTACCCGAGGGGGCATTAATTGTTTACCTTGTCCATATGTACATCCCAAAATTGGTTTCCGTTCTCTAACTTTAGTTTGCCTTAACCAAATGATATGAAACTTATACACACTAACTACCACAAAACCCAGGTCAAGTTTGAATTTGGATGGCGACACTTTTACCGTTCTGGAGTAATGGCCCTTTATAATGTAATATGGCAGCAGGGCATCATCTGTGTCCCATAGACACATTCTCCATTTATTTGAAGTCTGTTTTCAGATGAATAAAAAATAAAGCCTGTATTCAGATGAATAAAAAACAAAGCCTGTATTCAGATGAATAAAAAATAAAGCCTGTTTTCAGATGAATAAAAGTAAGGCCTGTATTCAGATGAATAACAAGTAAAACCTGTATTCAGATGAATAAAAAATAAAGCCTGTTTTCAGATGAATAAAAAACAAAGCCCGTATTAAGATGAATAAAAAACAAAGCTAGCATTCAGATGAATAAAAAATGAAGCCTGTATTCACACTATTCAGGTGAATAAAAAAATAAAGCCTGTTTACAGATAAATAAAAAGTTAGGCCTGTATTTAGATGAATAAAAAATAAAGTCTTTTTCAGATGAATAAAAAAAAAAGCCTGTATTCAGATAAATAAAAAGTAAGGCCTTTATTCAGATGAATAAGAAATAAAGCCTGTCTTAAGATGAATAAAAAATAAAACCTGTATTCAGATGAATAAAAAATAAAGCCTGTATTCAGATGCATGAATAAAAAGTAAAGCCTGTATTCAAATGAATAAAAAATAAAGTCTGTTTTCAGATGAATAAAAAATAAAGCCTGTATTCAGATGAATAAAAAATAAAGCCTGTACTCAGATGAATAAAAAATAAAGCCTGTTTTCAGATAAATAATAAAATAAGTAAATGAACAAAAGTCACAAAATTGATTGGACAAAAAGTCTCATCAAATAGGTCCAAATTAATTAGTAAACTTATAATAGAAAATTCTTGAAATAATTTATGCATTGTTAAATAATGGATTTTAAAATCTGTGTACAGTAAAAGATATTAGTATAAATGATCCCTCATACATTTTTTTATGGTTATAAGATGAATGTGCAGGGCAATATACGATCTCCAACCCAAAATATCAGATTAGGATATCTCAAGAATTTGTACATATGAATGTAGGTGTAAATTTTTGATGACTGTAAACAAACATAATTGTACAGCTGACATTTATTGTCACTTCATAGGTAAAATCAGGTAAACAAAACATTAATTTGGACTACCTGTAAATTAGGAGGCTCCATACAAGAAAAAGATATATATACCGGGTAAACCATTAGTGTGTGCATACAGGGAGAAATGAATAAATTAGCATGTTACTGTTTCTGACTTACAGAAGTTAAATTATGTATTATTATAAAATTATAAATTACTGAAAGACCAAAAGAAACAATTCGCAATGAATGGACTTGTTATAATGTATCAATATTTCATGTGTATTTTAACTAGACACCATCTATTAAACCGCCGGTCACCATACAGCATTCAGCAATGAGCAAAGCCTATACCGCATAGTCAGCTATAAATGGCCTTTTCTAGACTTTTTTAGGTCTGTTTGATTTCATGTCATAGTTTAGAAATAGTATGTAATTATTGTTTTACCTGTATAAGAATGATTTTTTGTTGGACGAATCAGTCAACGACATGGTTCTTCCACGTGCCTTCCTTGTTTCACTTTTCAATGTTGACATTCTTTTCTTTTTAATAATTGAACCTGCTGAGCCCGCAAGATAAATTGGTCGTGTGAATACTGGTTCAATAAAGGTTTAATTATTGACTTGCAAGCCAATAATACATCAGCGATCTTTGTGTTCTCCATTATTTTGACAAAATTTAACCAAACAAACTGCTAATAGCAAAAATATTATTTCAATATTCTGGTTTTTATAAATTTTTGAAACAAAAAAAACATATTCTTTTTTGTTTTGTTTTGATAGTCACTTATCCCTCTGTCTTTTAACCTGTAAGTCGAAAGCAAAATTTAAATTATTTAGGTTCGAGCTTAGACTGAATAATGTAATATTTCTACATGTAATATATATATTTATAGATTATTGATGGTTTTTCAAACGAGAGGGTGTTTCTCTGCTACAATCTCATCGAAGGGCGACAGCCCTGAGATGAGATGTGGCTGAGAAACATCCTTGAGTTTGAAAGACCATTGATAATCTATTTATCGCTATTTTGCCTATGATGTCGTTCATGTTTACATTGACAACGTCACGTGCGCCCTTAGTTTCTAACGATAATTTTCCATCTCCAGCAAGTAGCATGATATGAAAAATTATCACCAAAAAAGATCAAAGGAAAAATGCACAAGATAGCGATAAATATATAAAATTATAAGTTGATATAAGCAGCACAAATAAAACATCAGTTTGAAATACTTATGTCAGTAAAGAACTTGAGATCCCAAATGAGAAGTTAAAATATGATTTTTTTCACGTAATCTCAGAACTGAAAGCAAAACTATTAATGTTGACTGTCTACCTGTAGAAATAAGGAAGCTTAAAAATGAAAAGAGAGATTTATTGTAAACTCAACTAACACCACAGAAAAGGTGGCCAAGTGATTATTAGTTTACATGAAATCATTCAAATTACTCTATTTATAAACCAGTATTATAAATTTTAAATATATACAAGCGGAAATTGAAAACAAAAGTGCGCAGATTATGGAAATATTTCTAAAGGTTATTACGTACATATATATATAACAACAAAGAAAAATGAGAATTGAATATATATATATATTAATTCATTATGAAAACTTTGTATACAGATTTTGATCAGTATTTTCTGTGAACGGATATATATACCAAGTAACCAAGAGTAAAAATCCTAAAAAGAAAAGTGATCTTGAAAAAAACCCACTTACAATGACATTCAGAAAAATGTTCACACAGATAATTCTTTTGTGTGAACATTTTCTACAGATTTTGATCAGTAGAAAAAGTTACGTCCTTGAAATTTAAAAAAAACAACACCTACTATCTGACTATAGGAAATGATCGCCAAATTTACAACTGTCTTTGTTAGGTAACATATTGAGATGTGTTCATTCAGTCATAATGTCCTTTTGATATGTAGCATTTCCTTGTAGTGCTTTCGCTGATCGGTATATATGCACACTTTCATGATAAAAATAAATATTTATTACTTTGTAGGAGGCCAAGACTTGCCACAGCCCCTAGTGGAAGGACAGGTATGTCACCTTATCAATTGAGGTTCAATACAGGAGTTATTTATTTTTATTTATTTTTAAGTTAGATTTATATAAAAATATATCAATTTATATCGGTGTATTGTTGGAACCAAACTTATTAAGGCCACACATAAAAATATTTTGGTTTGCCCAAACCCTACCCAAAGTTAGACAGAGTGGGTAGGTAGGTAGGCATTTTCTTTTTTTTTGGCAAAGAGAGGTTGAAGTGTCATATGTTTTTTAGTATTCATGACTATCTGATTAAAAAAAAAACTTTTTCACATCAGCGCAATAAAAGATTTTGAGTAGGCACTGAGCTATTTTCTGGGTAGGTAGGGTTAGGGCAAACAAACATATTCTTTTTTATGGCCTAAATGTGTTGTTTATCTACTTTAAGTTATTGACAATATAAATTGATTGTTGATTGCTTTATGTCCAGTGACAAATATTTCATGCATGTTCTTGAAGAGACAATATAGATGTATTGGTGTTAAAACCTGAGAGAATATGGCATTGATGGACACTGACCATGAAGTCGTTGCCAAATGCTAATATTGTCCATGATGTTTGTGACAAAAAAAATCACAAAACAATTTGTATAATGGTTATGATGCTGTCTAAAAAGATAAAAGTAATATTCTTTATTAAATTAATTTATCAATGTGTGAACTGTGCCCACTGATTGAATATACATGTACTTACAATATTAATTTGTAGACATTTTGGCCATATATAGAAATCAATGTGTTATCAAGATAATTAACCCAACATCTGTTTTGTTAAATTATGATGTTTCACCTAACTTTTAGAAAGTGTGTGATATTAGGAATTTAAAAGTACACATACTGTTTGCACCTGTCCTAAGTCAGGAACCTGATGTTCAGTGGTTGTCGTTTGTTGATGTGGTTCATAAGTGTTTCTCGTTTCTCGTTTTTTATATAGATTAGACCGTTGGTTTTCCTAGGCCTGTTTGAATGGTTTTACACTAGTCATTTTTGGGGCCCTTAATAGCTTGCTGTTCGGTGTGAGACAAGGCTCCTTGTTGAGGGCCGTACTTTGACCTATAATTGTTTACTTTTACAAATTGTGACTTGGATGGAGAGTTGTCTCATTGGCACTCATACCACATCTTCTTATATCTATATACATTATACTAAACCTATACTTCATGGCAAGCTATAAAAATGACAAACTTAAAATAATTCAAACGAGAATTCAAACAAGAAAACAACCAGCCTGATTTATGTATGTCAGTATTAGCAAAATACCAAATGCTAAAAAAATACAGTTACATGTAATACTGTTGGAAAGAATTATATACTTATAGATAATTTTCAGTGAAAGCAGACTCATTGTTAAATCATGCCTTCTTGTTATGTAATATCTGCCACTGTACTTTATACAAGCCTTTAATGTTACAGAATCTCCTAGTCCTGGAATTATCCAGTCAAGCACATCACAGCGAAGTCTTACAAGTAACCCTCCTGATGTTCCTCCAAGACCAAGTCCAAGATCGTTACCTAGGACAGAGCATATATCAACTTCTCTCAGACATATAGGGGATCATTTAGGTAGACATCTGAATGTCTTTTGGGTATTTTGGGTTTAATGTTGTTTGTTTATCAGCACCAAATCCACATCTCCTTTTAATCATATGAAAATGTATAATTTTAAAAACCAGGGGTTATTTTGTTTGTCAATATTTAGGCAGATTGATTTTAAGGCACAGTTTATTATATTATGGTATATCGACAAACCTTTTTATAAAAAAATCCTTCTCAAAACATTGCATATAACTCAGGAAATAAAAAAAAACAAAAAACATGAAAAAGGCTTTTCTTTCAATTTTCATTAAATTTTCACCAATAACATTTAACAGCCTCAGATGTATTTTCTTACTGTTACTATTAAATAATTTTGAATGTTTTAAGTTTTAATAAAATTATGATTTTAGCTACATATGTGAGTCAGTTTTTCAACCAGCACCTTTATTTTTGTACATTGACTCTCAAGTTTGCTTTTACATATACAGATTCTCTTAATCTTTATACATATTGCCAAGAGTACAGAAATGAAACTCCCATTGGATTTGGAAAATTTCAAATTTGTAGTTTTAGGGAAGTAGGATTTTGGATGTCAAAAACTTTTGATTTGTATTCATTGTTTTATATACATAGCTTTTATAAGGGCAAAGTGGTATATTTATGTGCTGTGTATTTAGTTTGTATGTATCATTCTTTCTACATAGTCCCTATAGCTAGTTGTGTCATAGCCTCATGACTATTCTTATAGACCATGTTTTTATTTATGAATGAGTTACACCAATTGACTCTGAGGCAATCGGCGTAAATGACGTCATTGAATCATCTGTTCTTACTGTGGTGCAATTACATAAGCATTTTCATATAGGAAATGTACGGTAAAAATACATGAATTTGAAAGTTGTTTTCCTCTTAATTTTTCATAACATAAATATAAGAATATGATTGTCAGTGAGACAGCTATTCTTCAGAGACCTGGATGTAAGCAACTATAATTCACCATCTTTAACTATGGGCAAAACTTGTACCATATAGTAGGCTATAAAGATATCTGGCATTAGAAAATGTGAAACAATTGAAACTAGAAAACCAATAGCCTAATTTATGCTAAAACCATACAGAAAACTTTTTTTTTTATATAAAGCACTGTTTTTATCTTCAATTAAAGCTATGATTTTCAAACAATTCTATTTTTACTAGCATGATACTTTAAGACTGCTTTTCTAGTTGTCATGAAGAAAAAAAAAATTTAAACGTTGCTTTATTTTTTTCAGAATCACATAATCGGGATTCATCAGGAGACATACAGATAGAACAAACATTACGGGAGTATCCATGGTTTCATGAAAATTTAACAAGATCTGAAGCAGCTCAGTTAGTCCTTCAGCAAGGCCCAACAGGACATGGGGTGTTTCTAGTTCGACCCAGTGAAACAAGAAAAGGAGAAAGTGTTCTAACTTTCAATTTTCAAGGAAAAGCTAAGGTATTTAACATTGAAAATGATTTGTTTCTAAAGGATACAAATTATGGACTCACTTATATTCTGAAAATTAGAGATAGTTTAAAGTTTATTTGATTGAAATATATTTGAATTCAGGGTCAATTTGACCCCAAATGATACGGTCTATTTGAAGGAACATGTTATCAAAATTGTGGTTAAACTCATTCTGGGAAAATAAGAACCCTCCACATAATAATAAAATCATAGTTTGTGCAGATATTTTGTTTAAAAAAGAAACCTATAAAAGAATTATACAAATGATCCTGATAAGTAGATTGACTCGTAATAAAATTGAAAGTTGCTTATGTCTAACCAGCGAGTATTTAACCATGTTAACAGAAATCTTCTGATGAATTATAACATATATTAAGGACACAGTTTCTTAACTTTATTATTTCAAAAGTCACCTTTAACCAACAAAAATTTTCATGATTTTTTTTTGCCAAATTTTAATGTATGTGAGGGCTATTCCAATAAAATGTATGTGGGAGGGTAGGAAGGGACTTTCAAAATATCCTTACAACAAAGAACCATTTTTTAGATAATTTTGCATAATGGTAATAGACGCATACTGAAAAAAGACCCATGACCCACATTCAATAATTAAACTTCCTACCCTCCCACATACATTTTAATGGAATAGCCCTGACTGAAATTTATCCTTTAATACTGGCTGTAAACCACTTGAGGTTAAGCTAGCAACAATCAATCAATGTGTTGTATTAAAAAATTGGTCGCACTGCTTGCAAATACACAGGATGGTAATTGAGATAAATCACTACTAATTGCAAATTCAGCAGTTCACAATGGGTAAGTGTAAAAAATAAGGTTGTCTCCTAAGTAGGGAGACAAGCGCCTTACATGTATTGTATAGACCACAAGGGTCTCTTCCGTCCTTATCTAGGGGAGTGCTAACCTTCTCTCCTTTCTTACAACACAATGTTAAATAGCATAAGAGTATTATATATACCTTTCATTTTTTATCAGAAGTCATATAAGGGTAAAATAAAAAGTTGATATTTGCATCATTTTTCATAAGCCTTATATTTATGTGTTTCTTTCTGTTTTTAATGTTAGTATTTAGTAGAAGATTATATTTAATTATCAAGAATAAAAATCTTTTGGAATTTATAGGACTGTGATTGCAAAATAGTTTTACATAAAATTTCAAGGGAAGTAACTCAAAATGATAAATATTGGATGTTGCATATTTATGTCTTAGAATAACTAATATAACATTTATTTCAGTTATTATAGCATTGAAATATTTATATAAATAATAGCAATTATGTAATAATTAGTTGATACAATTTTTGTTTTTTGCAGCATTTAAGAATGACTTTAAATAATGATGGTCAGTGTCGTGTACAGCATTTATGGTTCCAGTCTATTTTCGATATGTTAGAACACTTTAGAACTCATCCGATTCCATTAGAATCAGGAGGAACATCTGATGTGACTTTAACAGATTATGTGGTGGCAATAGAGAGACCAGTGACTCCAAACTTACCGCGAGGCTCGCCTAGATCCCGCGGTGGTGGCCATCATGGATCTAATCCAAATCTTGGTAATAATTCCTTAGGAGCTATGGGAGGCAGTCAGGAAAATCGTGATATAGTTGTTGTTCATGGATCAGTGAGAGCACGGACAGAATCAATAGAGAATGTGATGCGTGAACAGGGACAACACGGACGTGCAATTGAAAATCAGTACTCATTCGTATGATTCTCATCATATTCTTAAAGTTTTCTGCCACACTTTTTAGAAATGGTATTGGTAGAATCATGTTAAGCCTTTTATTTCTTTCATATACTACTGTAAACTTATATTTTTTAGGGGCTTCTTTCTGAATACTGGTTTCTGTAGTCTAGATTGCTGGTCTATCTGTACAGATCCCTGACCTCTGGCATGGCCCCTTAAATTTCTTGTTAAAGATTTTTTTTAATGTTTTTATAAAAATGTAAGGTTCCTTTTTTTTTTTGCTTTTGTTCTTTTATTTAGCCCTTTTACAGTAGGCCAAATAAAATAATGTGTGTGGTTTTAATTTTTGTTTTTGGGGAGCATTTTAGTAAGCTCTGTTAAAGTCACAATGTGTTCTATGTTTGTTCCATATAAGGAAAATCAATGTTGCTAGAACCACACATAGTATTTTATTTGGCTTTGTCACAAATTCCAAATGAACTTGAGAATCACTCTGGAAAAGGCTGAGTTATACTTTCAATTAATGAATATTGTTAAATATTTCTTAATTAATTATACCAGACCAGATTTTTTATTCACTACATGTTGAAATATTCTAAGTATGAAAATCTTAACTTACTGATGTAAAGTATGTTTTATTATATAATGTATTTGGCAATACATATAAGTGACTGCATGTCAAATTGTTACAGATACAAGATATTTGGATTTTGTTTTTTCCCACCTGCCTACCATGGACAGCCCCCCTCCCCCTTTTCGTTTTTTCATTTATATTTAACTTTTTATATTTGGTAGAAATATTGAATACAAATGCTTTTCTCTTTTTTGCAAGAAATTGTATATATATCACTTTTTATGATAGAAAGAACAAAAATGGCATGTCTACTCTGTAGGCTGTATGCCCAAATTTCAATGTGACCACTTGAATTCATCTGATTGCCTGGTTGTTCAAATAACATTTTTTAAATAATGCTTTTTCATTTTTCTCTAAAAAAAAGATGAAAGATTTGTATAATGAATAATATCATTGTAAAGCAAGTGGCATTAAATCTTTAACATTCATCTTTTTTTCTTAAAATTTAGCTCTAGTTGTAAGATGAATCATATTTAATGGCAAAGTAATCTTAAATATGCTACCAATTTGAATTTTACAAAAAAAATTTAAAAAATTTATGATGATGAATGCATTGAATTCTTTTGTCAAAAATATGTTGAGAAAGTTGGTTTTGTTTTGAACTTTGCACATAAGAAACTTTAGAAATCAATTCCTTCAAACAATAATTTAGATTTTTATTGGTAGCACCCTACCCTTAAATTGGAGTTCTCGCTTGTTACATGAATTTTTTTCTTCATGTTCGTGGAATTATCATGTATAATGGTTAGGTTTTTTATACAAATAAAAAATGGCTCTTATATGCATACATATTTTTTGTGCAGTTCATTGAATCACTTTTATGTTTTCAAAAAACACAAATATTTATATTTATATAGGTTCAAATATTGTATATTACTGAAATGAATTTTTCAAATGTCTTCTCTGGTTTTATGTTCATGAAACACAAAGATTTATATTTATAGATACAAATATTGTATGTTGCAGAAATGAATTTTTCAGATATCTACTCTGATTTTATGTTAAGGATACTAGTAGATAATACTTTTGTTATACAGCACACACACAAGTTGATCATTTTAAACATCCCTTATGCTAATGTTTAGTGAATCCATTTCAAACAAGGGGCACTTTTCACAAAAGTCTTTCGACAAAAATGGATTGTAAGTTATACATTTTTGTACTGATAATATTTTTGTTATACAGCACACACAAGTTGATCATTTTAAACATCACTTATGCTAATGTTTAGTGAATCCATTTCAAACAAGGGGCACTTTTCACAAAAAGTCTTTCGACAGAAATGGATTGTAAGTTATACATTTTTGTACTGAAATGTTCATGACTTACATGTACTGTAAATTCGGAAATTATAGTGTGTATTTATTTTTTCCAATTTTTGAAGAATGGACATAAATGCGAGATTAATTATTGACATTTCAAGAAAATCTGTACACAGATATAAGAATGCAAGTTCTTGTTATTGCAATAATCACCAAGTCACATTATTCGCATTAATAAAAACCTTGCAATAATTTCTGAATTTTCAGTATTTGATCTGATAAGATTTTTAATGACAGGATTGTTGAGGGATAAAAGTTCTCTGATTTACAGCCCTGTTGTACATACAAATTATATTTTAGAGTGATTCAACTAGAATAACTACTGTTCACTGGGTTTTACAACCATGAGTGATTTTTTTACTAGACCATGGAGTGTTAACTGTAGATTCTGTTAAATGTCATGGTACTAGATTTTAAATTTAGATTTCTGCTCAGTTTACTCTAAATTCAGAAATTTTTGCATGCATTTATTATTACAAATTTTGAAAAAAATGAGAAAAAAAATGCGGGAAATGTTGCATAGAAATAATGCAATCAAAATGTTTAATATTGACAAATATATCCTGTTGCAATTTTTCTTAAAAATGTCTGAATTTACCGTACTTATCTGCTGTTCTTATGTACACCTTTGTCTAATGACAATATTTATTCAAGTTTACACACTGATGTATTTGTTAAGTTTTCATATCATGTTTTTGGTTGTATACTTTTGAACTTTTATTGCTATTATAAACATAAATTATGTACTAAAAATATTGCAACCTTGTTCAGGGGACTCTTAAAAATGGTTTTAATTAATATTAGGTGATAACAAAGGAGTGTTTACACAAACATGTACTTTTAAACTAGATGCAAGGTTCTTCTAAAAGTTTTTTATCAGGCAGTTCATACAGTGGCAGATTTAGGGGAGAGGGGACCTAGAGGGCCTAACAAGGTTGCAACAGTACTAACAAAGTTTACATACTTTATACAAATGTTTTGCAATGAATATTGAAGAATTTTAAAATGTGTGGGTCATTTCAGGGTTTAGTAGATTTCTAGTTAAAATGACCAATTTTAAACCCTTAAATATTTGCATGTGTCTTGTTTTGCTCTTAATGCTGCCAGAAATAGACATTCGTTTTCTCTACCTGCCTTTGCATCTCAAATTCACGTCTACTGGGTTTCAAGATAATTTTGAACTTTGTGTAATATGATTTAATTGATCAATTTTATGCAATAACATAGCTTTACTTTACCAGTAGTTGCTTTATTGGTCCTTTATTTCATTTGATTATATTATCAATTTTCCACTCATCCTGTATATCCATGAAATATTTGCCACTGGACATTAAGCAAACAACAACCATTTGATATTTGACCTCCATGGGTCAACTGAAATGGTCATCATAACAACAAATAGAATGTTTAGTTTCTTGAAAAAAAATCTGAGGAATATATCTTTATTGTCATATAAACATAATTAGTTTGTGACAAAAACCAAAAAACAAAAACAAACATAATATAGCAAAGAAATAACAATGCTATAAGAAATGAACACATGGAAAAAAATTATAAGATTTCTGCCCTCAGTTCTAATGACTGTTTTATAAAGGAGCCAATATTTTTAACATGTTCCATGATAGAAGGGTTTAGCCTTTCTTTTACCTTTTGTTCTTGGGTAAGAGACATAAAATTATCAGAAGGTAAACAATTTTCAAATAGATTATCCCTTAGTCTTTTGTTACATTCTAGGAGGAAGTGTTTTTCATCCAGCAGCAAGTGGCACAGTTTACATAGTCTATCCTTTCTAGGAATTTTATAATAGCGACCCTTTTCTATTTCTAAATTATGGTCACTAATTCTCAACTTAGTGAAGCATTTTCTTATAGAAAAGTCATTGGAAGCTAAATAAAATTCCCTATCCAAGCTAAGTTTTAAATTTTTATGAAGTAACAGTTTGCTATTTTCATCATAACTATATATTCTGTTTTCAAAAATATTTTTATATTTTTTTTTAAATTCATTTTTAATCAAGGGCTTTAAAGAGAATAGTTATATTGATTGAAAAAATTTCAACAATATTGATACAGTATTTTGATATGATGATTCATACTTGAACATCCAATGAGGTTCACGATGGGGGTCCTTCATTGCTGTATTCTTCAAATCTTTAAAAATAACACTATTTCTGTAATATTTATCATGAAAATGTATTTTACTGTTAATTTTTTCTGAAATTATATGATTTCTTTATTCTGTTTTTTGTTCGTTACTGTAATCGGTATTGTATTACCTAATTCTTTTATTTACCACTGTTATTCTTTACACTTTTGCACCCCATTATTCTCTATTCATTAATTTTTATGGTCATTATATTATTTGGCCACTTTTCTCTATTCTTTAAACCCCATCCAGACCCTCAATATCAAAAGGTACTTTTGAACATCTAGATAAATTCCTTTGCTTAAGAATCGAATAACAAAAAATATATCTTTTTTTTTTCCCATAAAGTGTTGTCGAAAGAATTGTCAGTATCCACTTAGAATTTTTCTTGGAATAACTGTATAATTCATTATCTGAATCAAAAGAGGTTTTTTAAAACAGAAATGGTCTGAAGTGTAGTCATGGTGTTATCTAGCTCAGATGTAGGGTGAATTGTTGATTCTTTGTAAGTAATTCTAATTCAGCTAGAGTTATTTCCCTTTGAGCACATTTTTTTTCTTTCATGTAATTTATGTATTAAAGTTTGACATCTTTTAACAAAAAATTGTGAAAACGTCAACTACATTGATACTTCAAAATTATGTTTATTCTATAATATGAGGCATTGCCTATGCTTAAAAACTATATTGTTATTTAATTGACAACTACACGTCAATTTTTTATGATAAATGTAGAAATTGGATATGTTATTTTTGGGGTTAAATAAGAGTTAATTCATACATTACAGTGAAGTTTCATGCTTTAATATTTTAATGATTTTATTTTTTATTATTCAGGATCATACGATTGGAACAACTACGTTTTTATTTTTAGAAGTTTTTAAACAGAGTTTTTTTATTATATGATGATCATCAGTCTTGAGTTGATTAATTTGATTGTTTTTGTTAAATATGTTTGAATTATTATCTTCAGACTATATACTTAACCAAATAGCTTTTTAAAACAGAGAATCTATCATGAAAATTATGAGTATTTAATAAGAGACCAATGTTTGGTTTTTAGTACTTTACATCAACAGTAAGTGCTAGTTATATAGATATTGAAATACCTGTCTAAAATTTCTAAACCTTTTACACTCGAGGCAAGGATGTTAACAACTACTGGGTTTTTCTCATTGTTGAAGGCTGTATGGTTGCCTATAATTGCTTACATCCACTTCATTTGAACTCTGATGGATAGTTGTCTCATTGGCAATCATACTAAATCTCCTTATTTTTATACAGTTTACTGTATAGTCTTCAACAAAGACAAACCCATACCAAATAGTAAGCTATAAAAGACATAGGATAACAATACAGGAGAGAAAATTAATTTGAGCTAATTAATCACATTATATGAAACACAAATCTGACAGACGGCAACCAATGACAACCATTGGACTAATGGTTTATGATTTGTTTACACAATTTAAGTGTTCAGGCTACCAGATCATTAAAAATTGGGTTCCTTTTTTTTTATCTTGTTTTTGCTTTCCCTTTTATAAATAACTATGGTACAAAAAATTTTAAATATGAAAAAAAAGTGAAATAAATCATACAGAACTTCACCCTCTAGGATATTTTCTTCAGAGGGAGATTCTGCACTTTGGAAATTTTACATCTAAATAATAAGCAGTTTTTAAAAAAATATGTTTAAAATTAAAGCTGTCTCTTCAAATAAAAATCATCATTTTAATTAATGAATGAAAATTAAAACAACTTGAGAATTTCATGTCTTTAAAGCACAATGCAATATTTCACTGATGAATAATTTATTTTGCAAGCTTATAGAAAGATTACATTTCCACATTATTTTGAAATGTCTTTTTATGTATTTATGATTTTTAATGTTATTGTACTAGATTTTATCATTTGTACATAAAAACTTTACATCATTGTTTTATTGATATATGTCATATATATGTTATTGTAATAATAAAAACTGTGATGCTTAATTTTTCGTTTTTTCTTTATATTGTATACTTTATATAAGAAGATAATGTCTAGAGCATGACAGAGAAAGGGTAATAAACTATTTGAAAAGATGTAATAAATAATACATCCAACATTGATAACATGAATTACCAAAAACATTACAACCGCATACTTACCATCACCAGACTGTTTGGACAATGAACACGGGACCTTATTTGACCTAAGTTTTGTATTCATGTATATGACAGATGAGAATGATTTAAATGCTCGAATCACATCCAAGTTCTGAAAATAGGTAAATATCAATAGAATGGATCCTAGCTTCATTATTCAACACCAAACAAGAAATAGTACGCATTTACATGTCATGCACAACTAAATTGAGACATCTTGAGGAGCGGTATATTTTTCCAGACGAGACATGTCAAGCCAAAAACTACTATAAAAAGTTACTGTGACTGGTATTTGTCAAGTAGACTAATTTCTCCTTTAAAGTAAGTCAATTAAAGTAAACAGATTTTATGTACAAATAAAAACATGGATGCAGCAAAGAAAATTTCATAAGAAAATCAATAATAATAACCAAAACTGTAACATTGCACAAATAACCAACACAGCACATTGTATGAGTAAATCTCATTTACATGATGCATTGATTAACCAGATTTTATACATGCAGCATGCCAGAACTCTCACTTAAACGACAGATACGTTGCATATAATTCAGTGTTATATAAATAGCTTCTTAATCAGGGCCCGTATGCATAAAACATCTTAACTTAAGTGTTCCTTAAACTTAGATTTCACTAATAATTCCCTTAGTTAAGTAAAATTCTTAAGTTGTATGCATAAACTTACTTTAAAAGTCTTCACTTAACTAAGGAATACTTAAATCGGAACCTTTCTCTAATTACCGTATGATATATATTAGCTCATCACATGTACTCATCCGTGTAAAAGTTTGTTGTGATTATTTACATTGAATGATCAATACATACTTTTAAAGAGTTAGGGTTAAATTGATATTGGTATGTAAAACAATTCAGTACTACGTAGCATAGTACAATGTTGAAACAGATGAAAAATTGGCGCATAAGAGAAAAGGTTGACGTTTTGATGGATGAGCATGGGAAGAAAAAAACAATATTTGTAATCCAAATCTTTACCCTACTTAATCTTAAATTCGGATTTCATGGATGTAATATTTTCTGGAGACAACAATATGTTTTAAACTCTAACAAAACATGATAAAGGTTTCAATGGCGTAGCACCACTGTAGCATTGTAAGCATGTGCTTACAAATAATTTTATAATTTTTTTTCAATAAAAATTTTACTTTAATCGTTCAGCTTTATATGGCCCGCCGTCTCCCCTTCCAGACCCCTTGCTTACATTTTCTTTTGGGGTTTTAAAAATCTATTTCGATTTCGTAAGTTCACTTACCTTTTACAACAACAAAAAAGGGGGCTAGGATCAATTTTCCACGAATCCATGAAAAAACTAGGACATTTTTCAAAAGTCCTACAATCTTTACTAAATAACATTATTAGATTCATATGTTTACGGTAAGGTATTATCAACATCTTAGCGTACTTAGCAATATTTTCGTTTACAGCAAAATATCAGTGAATATATAAGGAAATATGAAAAATCATTTAATACGGTTTAGGTATCATAAATACGTTATATAAACTTCGAATTCCATGGGGAAGCAGTGGCGGATCCAGAAATTTTCATAAGGGATTGGGGCCACTGACTGCCATAAGAGGGGGCCGCTCCAGTGATTCCCTAAACAATCAACCAAATTGTTTCAACAAAATGGAGGTCCATGCCCCCCAGAAATCCGCCTCTTGGTAGGTCTTAAATCTTTCCACGGTGTATTATAACAATTCAACGTTCAAATTTATTTGTGTACACATGCACGTAAAGAGTAAACAAAAGAAAATAATAGCATGAATTCCATGCGTGTAAAAACTGAGTACTTTTCGGTATACACAACAACGAGATTGAGAAATAAGGGTAGAATGAAGTTATATAACTACCCTCTGTTATCTCTTGATTTGTTGATTATACGTGATTGGAAGAAAATTACGATGATTGTTAATATTTAGCAATAAACAAACGAATTATTAGTAGTTTATTACTGATATAATTATTAATCAATTAAATTGTAGCTAAATATTAATGTTCTGCAAAAAACGCATACTTTCGACTGATTTTTAACTATTTTTGAAAATTTAAGGTAGCTCTATAGGTACCTTAGACTTAAGTGTAATCTTAGGCGTTTTCTTAGTTTAAGGGGTTTTATGCATACCACTTAAGTTTTGTGGGTGTGACCTAAAACATCTAAGATTTTACTAAGGAAAAACTTAGTCTAAGATTTTTTTTGCATACCACTTAGATAAAAAGGGCGGAGTTTCCTTAACTTAAGTGTTTACTAAGGAAAATCTTAACTTAAGTAGCTTTATGCATACGGGCCCAGAAGTACAAAATACAATACAGTTATGAAATGAAATATTATGTCTCTAATATAGAATGACTTGTGAATGTTAAAATATGCCTCTCAAAACATGCACAAGGTCAAACCTTAATGAGCTTGTTCATGACATCTTTACATAAATCTGTTGGAAGGGTACTGATTGATACTTCAGTCTTGAAGAATATGACTTATTTATTAGTTGTAATTGGTTTTGAACGATCTCTCATTAACTGCAAGTACTCTGTATCTATTGTTTTTTTCTATTTTTATACGACCGCAAAAAAATTTTGCCGTCGTATATCGGTATGACGTCGTCGTCGTCGTCGTCGTCGTCCGAAGACACATTGGTTTTCGCACTCTAACTTTAAGTTTAAGTGAATGGATCTCTATGAAATTTTACCATCAGGTTCAATACCACAAAAGGAAAGTTGGGATTGATTTTGAGGGTAATGGTACCAACAGTGAAGGAATTAGGGGCCAAAAAGGGGCCAAAAATACGCATTTTTGTAACTTCCAGACATAACTTGTGTGTAAGTGTATGGATCTTTCTGAAATTGTACTACAAGGTTCCATATCACAAAGGGAAAGCTGGAATTGAGTTTGGGGGTAATTGCCCAAAACGTTTAGGAATAAGGGGCCAAAAATAAGCATTTTTCTAGTTTCTAGACAATAACTTGTGTTCAAGTGTATGGATCTCTCTGAAATTGTACTGCAAGGTACCATACCACAAAGGGAAGGTGGGATTAATTTTGGGGGTAATTGCCTCAAAATTTTAGGAATTAGGGGCCAAAAAGGGGCAAAAAACAAGCATTCTTCTAGTTTCAGGACAATAACTTGTGTGTAAGTGTATGGATCTTTATGAAATTGTACTACAAGGTTCCATGTCACAAAGGGAAAGCTGAGTTTGAGTTGGGGGTAATTGCCCTAAACGTTTAGGAATTTGGGGCCGAAAAGGGGCCAAAAAAAACAAGCATTTTTCTAGTTTCCAGACAATAACTTGTGTTCAAGTGCATGGATCTCTCTGAAATTGTACTGCAAGGTACCATGCCACAAAGGGAAGGCTGGGATTGAGTTTGGGGGTGATGAATCATAAGGGGGTTCAAAAAAAATTGGAGGGGGGGGTTTCCTTTTTTTCCTTTTTTTTTTCTTTAAAATTTTCCATTTTAAATTGGTCATTTCTGATTTATATATAAAAGCAAATAATAATGATATGGTTTAAATAGGTAAATTAAAATTTTTTAAGTTCTTAGACCACATTCATTATGTGTCAGAAACCTATGCTGTGTCAAATATTTTATCACAATCCAAATTCAGTGCTGTATCAAGCTTGAATGTTGTGTCCATACTTGCCCCAACTGTTCAGGGTTCGACCTCTGCGGTCGTATCAAGCTGCGCCCAGCGGAGCATTTTATTTTAGTTTTGATATATTGATTTAAGCCATTTGTAACTGATTTTTGTCCTGCCAGAATGCGAGATAGGGAATACTATTGGCCAGCTGTGGTAGCCTAAACCATTTTTATGATGCTATATATTTCAGAGGGTCGAAGACCTAGATGGCTCATACCTAGTATACAGATGCCTTATGTTACAAATTTTCTGTTTTACATATGTCCATTGTCCTTATCCTAATTTTCGTGGTTCGTCAACACCTTCATAAACAGGTTTAGAATAGAGAATGGAAACAGGGAATGTTTCAAAGAGACAACAACCCGACCAAAGAGCAGAAAACAGCCCACAGCCACCAATTTCTGCACCTTGAGGCGGGCTTAAGCTAGCCCATAAACAATAACAATAATGTATACTAGTTCAGGGAAATGGATGCCACATTAAACCCCGAAATATACAAATGAACCAAAATTTAAAAGACATGCAAAGGCTAGAGATTTCATGTAAATTTCTCACTTATGAGTAGTAGGATTACTGTGTTGGTATCTTGGTTTCTTGCAAGGCCTACATGTCCCTCAGACAAGGTTCACTTGACCTCGACCTCATTTCATGCATCAGTGATCAAGATTTTGTTTACATGATTAGGTCAGTTTCTCGCATAGAAAGCACTAGGTCAACTATATTTGGTGTATGGAATGATTGGAAGGTGTACATGTCAGTCTGGCAGGTGTCATCTGACATTGATCTTATTTTCATGGTTCATTGGTCAATGTTAAGTTTTTGTGGTTTGGTCTGTTTTTCTAATACTATAAACAATAGGTCAAATATATTTGGTGTATGGAATGATTGTAAGGTGTACATGTCTGTCTGGCAGGTATCATCTAACCTTGACCACCTTTTCATGGTTCGTTGGTCAATGTTAAGTTTTCCTGGTTAAGTCTGATTTTCAGATACTATTAAGCAAAAGATCAACTATATTTGATGAATGGAATGATTGTAGGTGTACATGTCTATCTGGCAGGGTTCTGCTGACCTTTGGCCTTATTTTAATGGATCATTGATAATGTTAAGTTTATGTGATAACTATAGTAAAATTATATCGCAAGGACTATCAACACAAAACAAATCATGAATAGGAAAGCAAACGAGACGTTT